TAGAAAACCAGTTCTTAGGGGCTTGACTGTCCGCTCTCTGCATTCCTTCAAAGGCCCTGTCAGTAGATGTTACCACCTGATTACTTTGAAACTCTTCCTTTGCTGAGTTTTTACTTTTGTTTCCCATTGGATGCATGGTTTTTGTCTTGTTATCAAGCTTGAGAGAGAACTGTTCTCTTTCTTTTTCACTCTGCTAATTCTGAGCCTACATATATACTTCTCTTGGAAAGGAATATCAGGACTTCCCCAGCGGTCCAGTGGTTAAGACTCCGCTGCACTTCCAGTGCAGAGGGTGTGGGTTTAATCCCTGGTCAAAGAACTAAGATCCCACATGCCGTGCACTGCAAACAAACAAAATTTTAAAAAAGAAAGGACTCTCACTATCACTTTGTTATCTCTTCTCCATCCCAAATTGTGTCTTCCACTCTTCCTTGCAGGCCTTCCTCATCTCTCCGTCCCCTTGACACTTAAACACCTATATGTACCAGGTGCATTAGTGGTAGGTGCTCCTGCGTGTCATCCCAACAAGCCTGTGAGATAGATTGCTGTCGCCCTTTAGCAGATGAGGTGCAGGAAGAAACCTGGGGTAAGACATTGATATTAATAGTTGAAGGAGGGATAAGAGGGTAAGTGGAAACCTATTTTCTCTCTCTCTTTTTTTTTTTTTTTGCAGCCTGCTCTTTTATTACAGCCACAAGGGGTGTGTTTGCTTAGAATGCTGGCTTCACTACAGTGATTCAATTACTGTCGAGGCCTTGATGACTTGTGATTCAGATTCTGGGGCTTCCTGGTACCTTCCTGCCAGAGTGTGCTCTACGGCACACTTGCCATCCCCACCCTTCTCTCCCTGCTTCAGGCCCCTCTAGACAAAGATTAAAATGCCCACATTTCCCTAATGTGACATCTTGTTCCTAGGAATTTCTAGGAAGCTGAGAATTCAGATGAATAATAGCATTTGAGCAAATGCAGAGCATTTGAATAGCTAACTGTACTTTGCTACTAATGCTGTGTTTATTCAAATCTCTCAGTCACATGTCAAACTGAAAACCAGGCTGCAGAAGCAAGAGCCAGGGTTTTGTCAGACCTGTGGTTCTACACAGGGCAGGCGCAGGCCTGGGCCCTTCTGGGTAGGATGGACCCCTGGGGACTCATGATGTTCACATGCTAACCTCAGTCCTGGCCTAGTAGCTGCAGCAAGAACATTCTTGCTTTGCTTGTGGATATGACAGGGGAGACCTGTCTCCCAGAGCACAAGACAGACAAACAGATGCCTTCTGCACCAGAAAGAGTTTTGTACAAATGTGAAGCCATCAGCAAGGCCACAACTCCCGGTCATGGGGTGTCAAGGTCACCCTTGATTGGAACCACATCATGGACTGTTCAGTGATGCCCTGAGTGTTTGTGAATCTAATTAATTGGAGTTGCATCCTTTCATGATACAGTAGCAAGTGTGACTTCCAGGACACAGAAGCTTATGAGCTGGTTCAAGGCTCTAAGCTGTATGAACTGGGAGCACGTTTTTCTAATTTTAGTTGCCTCATCTATAAAACAAGGATGAAAAAGTAACACACCTTTCAGGCTGAGAGTGAGGCTTCATGGATGAATGTAGATGAAAGTACATTTACGCTCTGAGGTTCCATACGAGTATCAGGTGGTGTTTGTCTTGGAAGCTATTCTTGGAGTAAGAATAAAGCAAGTTTTTTCAATCCAAGTAGTAGCACAAACAAACAGCCAGACATCCATGCTGTTGAGGGAAGACCAAAGAAACCCTCTGAGGGTGCAGAGACACTCAGAGATGTTTGTGTCCCAGTCTCTCCATCTGGTTCTGCCCCAGCCCAGCTGTTGAGGCAATGCAGAGCAGCTGCAAGAGGGGAGGAAGTCCTCAGGAGACCTCCGGCTCCTGTAAACACCGCCCACCAGCCCCACGTCAAGCAGCCCATGACCTTGCTCTCAGACACGTGAGGCAGCTCAGCCACCCGAGTTCCTTGAAGAGGCTCCTTGGGTTGAAACAATATAATTTTGATTTGACTTCTCCATTGGAAGCATGTTATCGTAAGAAATGATGTACTTAAAAAAAGAAAGAAATGATGTACTTTTCCAGTGGCCCAGTGAACAACTTTTTCTAAAGGGGTCTGCAATAGAAGGGAATAGGCAGCCCTCTGAGGGAAGGCTGTCTGTGAAGGAGCCCGTGAGAACACAGAGGTCAGAAGTGGGGGGGCTGTCAGGGCCCCAAGCTGGCAAGCACAAACTGTGAACCGCTGGCTCTTTTTCATCCTGACTGTAATACAGTCAGGAAGTTAAGTCCTCTGCGTACCAGATGCAAAGTTTTTCACCAATTTTAGGAGGACCTACCCAAGCATTTTATAAATAAAGCCTGACTGTGGACGATTTGCTTATGGCCACGTGGGTGGGAGCCATGGCTGACCCAGTCCTGATACGTGTGTGAAATGTTCCACAGTTACAGGAAAACTTGCTCAGGCCTTGGAAACTCTATGCCCTGGAGGTTGAGACAAAGAAGAGAATGCTTGGTGTTATTTTCCTGTGAAGGGAACATTAAGAAAGTCCTGAGGGTGCAGCCTGGAAACCACAGACGACTCAGAAAGGGTGTCGTATTTGCATTCTAGAGGCTGGGGGCCAATCCTCCGAACTGGTGCCAGCTGGCAGGGGAGCCCAGCTTAACGTGCTCCAGGGAACAAAACCAGTGTGGTTTTGAATCTGAGCACTCAGACTGTTCACAGAGGGGCTGCCTGCTGCCTTAGACCCATTTCAAAGGCTCTATTAACAAGTGCTTGCTGGGAGCATGGAAGGGGCTGGACCAGGCCGCTGGGTATGAGCAGAGTCACCAGCAGACCCTTGGCCTCTCCACTGGGTGTGGCAGGATGACTGAGGAATCGGAGGAAGAGGCAGCTAGTCTGGAAATGTGTTGTAACCCAGTCGCCCAAGGCAAGGCCACTATGTCCTGTCACATGACGGCTGCTCCCAGTTTCCTGTGTGGCTTGGGCTCCCTTACTCTAAGGGAATCCTCAAGACGGCTGTCTCCAGCCATTCCATTCTGCCATGACACCAGAGTGCCACAGAACTGCTTAGGGCCAATGCCCACCCAGACTGGTCATTCAAAATCCTAGAGGCCTATTGGCCAGGGGGGAGGCAGATAGGTACACAGGGGATTCCCATTACTTCTGTTGGGTGGGACCCCTAAGGATAAATACAGTGTGTGTGGAGTGCTTTGGTCCTTTGCTAAAAACTACATGGGCACCAGTGAATTGAATCCTCAAAAGTCACAGTATCCCTATATTAAAAATGAGAAAACACAAGCTCAGAGAAGTTAAGTAACCCGCCTAGTTTCACCCAGCTAGTAACTGGAAGGCAGGGTCCAAACCAGGGGCATGAAACTTGCTAATTAGGATTTCAAAGTTCTGCAGGCAGTTAAAAGCGCAGTTGTATTTGGGCATTTGACCCAAAGCTGCCTCTGACCTCAGAGGGTGCAAGCCCTACCCAAGTCCTTGAACTCGGCCACCCGGAGCATTCTGAGTGCAGTGGATCTCCTGTGGGTGCCGCCGGAGCTGTGGGTAGTTTGTTTTCTGCAGCCTTGTGTGGTGTGAGCCTTTATAGCAGATACACTGTGCGTTGCAGCCCCTCCAGAAGGCTGAGTCAGCCTGGGTTTGCTGCTGGTGCCAGACTTTGCTGAGCCCCGTGCATAGCATGGGGAGACACACCTACTGTCCACCTGCTCTGAGTCATAAAACTGCCACACTGCTGCGAGACCTGCCAGCTCTGCGATCTCTTCTGGTGCCACCGCACCGAGAGAGGTCCTGGCCATATATGGCAGGGGCACGGGGCAGTGCCTTTCCCTAGCCCGCCTTCCCGTTGGACTCTGCCGTGGGACAACTAAACAGGTCGAAGCTCAAGGTCCAGAAGTTTCCTCTGCTTTGCACCAGCTGGCTGGGGAGACAGAGACCGAGGGCAGCCTGAAAGCCACGGGCTCAGACCCGAGAGGAGAGTCAGCCCACGCACGTGCAGTGGAAGCGTGGGGTTAGCCAGTGCCCTGGCCACCAGGATGAAGCCAGAGAGATCAAAGTCGGGGGGAGAGGGCAGCGTGGGAGGGGACTGATGAAGTTCCATTAAATATTTCAGGCTTGAGGCTGTATCCCATATGACTTTTAGGTCTATCATTGAGAGTCTTTCAGCTGAAAGGTTCCTACTTTTTTCCCGATTAAGGGCTTCCTTATCTGCCTAACATTCTCCAAACGATTGCAAATCTTGATATCTCCTAAAAATGCACCCTTTGTGTAGAGTTTTCCAGAAGCCCTCTCATTTGCCATTTTTCTGTTGCCAGGACTCGCATCAGTGCAATAGTTGGGTCAGAGAGCCAAAACAAAATGAAATCTAAACCTTCTATTAAGGTACATGGCAGTAATTACATTACCCTGCACACGGGACACGGCCCATGTGTGCTGGAGGCCTTGAAATTACCATGGATGTTTTTGTGTGTTTCCCCTTAGAAGGTCCTAAGAATGCTATTTTACGCTGCATATAGGGCACAAGATTAAACTACTAGTACTGGATTTTTGGCACAGTGGTAAAGAACCGCCTGCCAACGCAGGAGACACAGGTTAGATCCCTGGGTCGGGAAGATCCTCTGGAGAAGGAAATGGTAACCCACTCCAGTATTCTTGCCTTGAAAATTCCATGGACAGAGGAGCCTGGCGAGCTACAGTCCATGGAGTCACCAAGAGGCAGACACGACTGAGCGACTAAGCATACCACATACTGGGTTTCTGCAGAGGAAAGATTCACGAATGTGCTCAAAAGTATTACCACCTTAAACACTGAGGCCACCACTCCCACTTCCGAGGGACTTTGTGGTGACTGCCTCCAAAAAGCCATGGTGACCGGAAATGCATCCTTTTCCCCTCGAGTAACACAAAGCATTACGAATGTCTAAAAAACTTAAAGATGACTGCTCTTCACCTTTTAAAAAAAGTTCTCTTAAATTTCAGGTGAAAACCATTAACTGAAGATGTCGAGCAAGACAGCCAGCACCAACAACATTGCCCAGGCACGAAGGACTGTGCAGCAGCTGAGAATGGAAGCCTCCATCGAAAGAATAAAGGTAAGAGCCTCGAACGGGTCAGATGTGTTCCTCACCATCGCCCTCTGCTCTCCTGAGGCCAGGCCACGTTTCTGAGAAGATAATGCCATACAATTCAGCCAGGTGCCATGATTTTCTCTGAGCAAGCTGAGAGTTTCCGAGTCTTAACTTTCTTTTCTACATAGCATGGGCAAGCCAATATGTCTGAAGTGAGCCTGTCTGTCTGGACAGAAAACCTAAAACCCGTGACAGGATTTCCTGAGGACTTGCCTTCCCTGGGCACACATGGCCGAGCCTTCTGGCACTGTGTCCTTCCTGGGGACAGGGCTTCCAGGTGGACTTTATATAAACAACCTCGTCAGCCCTCTGGAATGTATGAAGTGTTCTGGAGTTATCACTGCAGCCGAGGGAGCCTTGCATAACAAGTCAACGGTCCGGTGTCCTTTTGAGGAGAAGGCACTTTTTCAGTGTGTGTGAACTTTGATGACCACAGTCTGCATCCAGAGCGAATAGTGCCAGCCTTAGTTGAGACCTGGCGGAAACCAGAACGCATCTGATGGGTCACCTGACTTAGAAGTCATTTCCCCAAAAATCCCCAGAGAGGGCTAAGCAGTGAGTGCCTTGGGAATGTTGTGAGTAATGCTGTTTCCTAGATACTGAAGCAGTCACCTGATAAATTCCTCTGGGCCTGGAGACAGTCACCTGTCTTCAAAACAGGAGGCTGCCTGTCCTGTATTTGTCAGGGCTCAGCTGGCCTGTGCCCCTGGCCTAAGGACACTGGTCTGATGATTCTAACGGGTCTCCTACCCAGACCTCTGAAGAAGGCGTGATATTTCCATTTCTAACTCATGCCAAAGTAAGGTGCTACATCTTTACATGCTGGTTTTGTCCCTCTTTTTATTTCCCCCATCTTTAATGGTAAATCTTGACACTACCAGAATTTGGCTCTGTTCTTCCTGAGATTTGGCTCTGAGCCCTTATTTCAGTGTTTTAACTCTGTTCTCCTCTGCATTCTAATTGATTTATTTTTTTTAATTGGGTAGAAGCTAAGATACAGCCTTTCTTTGAATCAGATGCTTTTCTTTTTCCCCTTCTCCCAACTTTTTATTTTGAGAAATTTTAAACCTACAGAAGAGTTGTAACAATAGACCCCATATACTCTTTACCAAGATTCACCAATGAGCATTTTACCGTATTTGTTTTCTGTCTCTGCACGCATACAAAGCTGACGTAATTTTTCCTGAAATTTCTTGAAAGTTATTTGCAGACATATGACTCTTCACCCCTAATACTTTACCATTTGCCTCCTAAGTACAAGAGTGTGTTCCTCTACATAACTACAGTACAGTTATTACACTCAGGATCAGCTGCTGATATCTAACACACAGTCTGGTTTTGAAGATTCCAGGCCCCTCACTTTGCAGAATGGGCCTCACTGCAAATAAAATTGTTTGCTGATGATCAAATTCGGACTAAAGCTTTGGGCAGGAATATTAGCTGGCTGGTGGCATGTCTTCTGTACTCAGCCCAAGAGACAGCTGATGTCAGTTTGATCACTTGGTTGAGGAAGGCCTTATCTGCCAGATTTCTGCATTTGGAAGTACCTTTGCCCTTTCTATGTAACAGGTAACCTGGGAGTGATACTTCAAGACTCTGGTTATTCTGTTCTCCAACAGTTTTCCACCCAATGGGTTAGCATGCAGATACCTTTTGAGTTTGTAAATATTCTCCTTTAAAAAAAAATTTTTTTTTATCTAAACAGTTGATTTACAGTGTTGTACCAATCTCTGCTGTATAGCAAAGTGACTTAGTGATAAGCTAATGTATTCTTTTTTTTATATATTCTTTGCCATCATGGTTTATCACGGGGTATTGAATACAGTTCCCTGTGCTGCATACATGAGGACCTCATTGTTTCTCCATTCTAAATGTAATAGTTTGTATCTGCCAACCCCAAACTCCTCGTTCATTCCTCCCCCTCCCTCCCCCTTGGCAACCACAGGTCTGTTCACTATCGATAAATCTGTTTTGTAGATAGACTCACTTGTGCCGTATTTTAGATTCCACATGTAAGTGATAGCATATGGTATTTGTCTCTTTCTGACTTATTTCACTTAGTATGATCATCTCTAGTTGCATCCTGTAAATATTTTGTTTCCTTGGGTTTGTCTACACACCAGGTTTCAAAGGCATCAGCGGACCTCATGTCCTACTGTGAGGAACATGCCAGGAATGACCCCCTGCTGATGGGGATACCAACTTCAGAAAACCCCTTCAAGGATAAGAAGACCTGCACCATCTTATAGAGAAGTAGTGAAGCGGATCCTCCCCTCTTCTCAACAAAGCAAATGATGAGCAGCTCCGTGAAAAGATTTACCTTCAGCTTATTTGGTAACCACTGCTAATAACTAAAATGCTCTTAACTTGGAATTATGGACTCTGAAGTCTTTACCTTCCAAGTTTTTCTTTCTCTAAAATGCCTTTTACTCAATTAATACAGAATAATAATCTTGTTTTCCATTTGTTAACTACAGTGTCCTATTAGTTACTGCTGAAGGAAAGTTGGTCTAGCCTTTAAAAAGAAAACAAATATATCAGTGATCCAGTTAAAACCTAAATTACCTAAGCAGTCATCTAGATTAAAATGCCAAGGATAACTGGTCCTAAAATTTTTGTCATAGTCTATTAATAGAGTTTTGCCAATCTGTACAGTATATGTGGGTGAGAAGTGTTTTGTGTATATATATGTGTGTGTTTGTATATACACATCTCAAAGCTTATTTCCCAATTAAAATGTCTCTCCCTCCATACTATCAGTTCAACTCCAGAAGTTATATCTTTATCTCAAAGCTGTGTGTAGGTAGAATCCTTTTCTTGTAGTTATTGTACAAAAAGAGCACCTTACAGCCTGTATTCATCGTAGTTGAGTAATGAAGTCATCTCTCTCCTCTTGAAACCGTGCTGACCTGCCAATCAAAATTTTTAAACTGAACTAAAAGCCCTTTTATAATATGAGCATCCTTTCACCAAGCGATTTCAGGTTTCAGTGATCCTGAGTCTATCTAGGAAAGGGGAGGTGGCCCTTGGGGGCACCCTGGGCAGTGTGCCCCAGGGCTCATGGCCTCTGGGTCAGGGGTAGACACCTGAAGTTCCTACTCTAACGATGGGAACTAGACAGAGCAGCCATGACCATGAGCCCGGCCAAGAGAGGAGCAGGAATGCGTGAAAACCAGCTCCTCTTTGTGGCCTAACTTTGTGATTTAGCTCGCTTTGTCTGCCTTCCCTCTTATCTTTCCTCTGCAGCCAGATCATGTCTTCAGAGTTAATGTCCACCTCCCCAACCCCACCTGGGTAGATCATGGTGGGAAAGAAACCCACAAAGAATGTAAAGGTTAAAAAAAAAAAAAAAAAAAAGAATGTAAAGGTATCGGACACATAAGCTCTTTTCAAGTATCTGCAGCATCCGCGTCATCCCTACCTGGTCCTCACACCATCAGAGGGGCTTGTTTCACTCCTTGGGCTCACAGTTCCTTGATTTTCCTCTGGGCCTGGATATGCCTGCCACACATGCTCAGAATGGCTATGGGGATCCCCAAAGAAGGTTGTCTCCTGTGGCAGAAGGCATATTGTTAACTAAGAGGAGGAGAGGGTATTTCTAAACACTTAATTATGGGCCCAAACCGTGCACCAGACCTTTAATATTTTAATTCAGTTTCCATTCATTAAAAATTACTCATGAAAAGTTAAAAGTATTCTCAAAAAGGATTCAACCCTGAGAAGGAATTATTTACAATGGTTTTCCCTATTTCTGTACAGTCTTGCCCTGCAGTGCAAGCCCATTTTTAAATCCAACACCTGAGCTCTGAGTATTGTGTTAGTTGTGGGTGAACAAATACAGTACTGTTTTCAGACTGCTCGAATCTATTCCATATTTCTGCAAGTCACCTATCCAGCATTGTGAACTGCCCTCACTCTTCCAGGATCATGTGGAAATCCTGCCACTGCCCTTCTCTTCTTACCATCTACACTTGGTTCTGCAAAGGGCCCAGTTTCCAAGTACATTATAGGCACCTGTTGGTGGAGAAAGGTTTTTCCTTTCAAAAGGTGAAATTTGAAATATACATTAAGAAGACAACTTTACATGTACTGCTTCACTTAATGAGACATTCTTTTTTTTCTTAATAAGTATTTTTCTACTGATAGTTTCAGAACACTAATCTTATTTTCACTCTGATTTTTACCATGTTTCTTTAAATATTTATAATGTAGCTTGTTACAAAATATTTTCATGAAATTACTTTTATTATACTGTTATATACACATTTTTGGTAGCAAGCATAGTTTATTCTTTAGTACTAAAACATGTTCTTTTCCCTATTAGAAAACAAGTATGGTTTGCTATATATTTGTTAATATGCTTGTAGTGGTAAGGAATGGACTTGAGGTCCCAGGAGATTTTTTTTTTTTTTTTTTTTGCTAGCCAGATATCATAAAGGCTACAAGTATGAACATCATCTAACTTCCTAACCAGGTGTAGGGCATGTTTAAGAAAAGTGATATCAAGTCCTTTGATGCTGGACCCAAGGGGGAAAAAATTGTAGCTAAGTGTTGATTTACTTATTATGAGACGTCTATGTGAGAAAAATATAATATATGTATACATATATATGATATGCAGAAGTCACTTTTATTTATCAGGCTTTATTCTACTAGTAAAGCCACAGTTTAACTATTAGACAGCAGCTGGTTTATAATGATGGACAAATGCCCAATGTGTGTTATTTTTTCCAAACTACCACTATAATGACACAATCACTTATATACATGCAACTTCCTGGCTTCATATCTATGAGGCTATTTAAATATGTTCACTATACTTTGTCTTTAATTCTGCTTCTATTAACAGTGATCTCTTTTTCCATTCTTGATTCTTTAGTTCATCATTAATCTGTCCAATTGACGCCTCAGGACCATGGCAAGAATTTTCATGACTCCAAAGTATTTTACAGACACACACTTTTTTTTTTAACAGAGAGAAACACTTTCTATACCACGTGGTTCACAAGCTGTAGGTTTTTTCTAAAAAGAATCAAGTTTTTACATTTCCTTATTATTAAAATGAAAAGTGCCATACTTACCCCGTAAAGCAAAGACTGAATTTGCTTTCTCTCTACCTATTTTTAAACTTTACTAATCTTTCAACTATCCAAAAAAAAAAGTATACCAATGATTTAGTAATTTTGAGGCATAAGTTAGTTTAGGTAGTGGAAGATGTGCCAAACTTTCCCTCCAGATGTCTTTGTCTCAATTTGCCACTAAGATAGTGTCATCTGAGTGATTACTCTGAATTTTAAGAGCTATATAGGTCTAAGAAGTGAATCACAGTACATGTCAGTCCTTTCTCAATAAATGTAATACCAGAGTGTGTTATGACTGTATTGACTTTTTATGGTAGATCTGTTAATAGAAGAAAAAAGAAATACATTGAATTAAGTAGAGTTATCTGTATGTTAAAATAGAGCACTTACCTAGAGCTGGGTGTCCTGGATCGCTGTCTAGCCAATCCTGTGTTCCTGTGTTGTGTGACTTTGGACAAGGCACTCCATCTCTCTGAGCCTGCATTTCACCATCTGTAAAATAAGGGGCTTGAAGTAGCTGATGGCTGATACCCTCCTGTTCCGTCCAGTGGCCTACCCCTCTACTGGTCCTGCCAACATGTTGGTGCTATACGCTGCTTCAAAATAAAATCGGTTTGTCTATTGTGTGTGCTCATTTAATAGCTTATGAAAGGCCTTTTTGTTATATGGCTTTTTTTTTCTAGTTTTATGAACTTGATTACAGTAATAAAGTCTTGTTTGTAGCCATGTAACTATAAACTTATTCTCTTGATGTCTCAGTAAATTTGCATTTGATATATTAGTTGATGGGATTGTTGTTTTAGGACATTCTTTGACTACTTATCTGTCCAGCATCTTATTAACCTAAATATTGTGATCGTTGTTTGGAAATCTGTTCTCTGGAAAGAATAAAAGCATTTACTTCACAGCTAATGTGTTTGCAGATTTGAAAAACAGTTTCATTAAAGCACCATTGCTCTCTTTCCTGGGTCTGGCTCATTGAATCTTCCTACTCATGTTTTGCTCAGTAAACTAACAGTAGACCAGTTCTCTTCCCTTTTTCCTGCATTCATTCAGTTAACATTTTCTGAGTACCTGCTAAGAGCCAGGTATGGAACTAAAGCTCTGATTATACTCAGAAGAATAAGGCTTACACTAGCCTGTGAGAAGCTCACAGTCTAGAACAAAGAAGATGGGAATGACTCGTATATAAACTAATAGTACCATGTGCAACGTGCCTGAACTCAGGGCAACACAGTGCCGTGAGAGCCCAGAGGAAGGAGGGCTGCCTCTGCCTCTGCAAAGTCTTGACAAGGCTTCCAAGAGAGGTAGTGTTTGAGCCAGGTCTTGAAAGATAAAGAAACCCTGCAGTCTTGGGAGGGAATTGCAGGAGGAGAAAAGTGAGCTCAAAGGTAGTGTGCAGAGCATCTCCCATACCCCTTACCCACCCAGCAACAGGAAGAGGGTGGAAGTTGTTAAGGAGTGGTGGTGTGATGATTCACTATGTGTCGAAGGCTGTTTCCCATCCTGAGACCTGACAATGACCATGGAAACAGATAACAAATGGAAAGGTCATCAGATTGGATGATTCATACTCACCAAGTGTTTGCTGAAGGTACCCTGCCTCCTGCCCAGTCCCTCCCTCCAGGGCTGGGATTCCCTCAGAGACAGAGGGAGGGACGACACCATCCAGAGAGCCACCGGAAGGGAGAAGGCAGCCAACAAGGTTATGGGCTGGGCAAGCCACAGAGATGTTTCCTGCTTCGAAAAACCAGCACTCGCGCACTCTCAGAGAGTCAGGGCAGAGATTGCCACTCAACCCTTTCTAGGAAAGGACTGAAGCGTTTAGACACTGCAGTCATGAAAAATAGGCAGCAACTGACCAGCACTTTCATGGTTCAAACCAAATTACCAGAAGTTCCTGTGATTTGCAATGGAAGATGATTGTATTGGGAGGTGGTCGATGGGATATGGGTAGGCCTTCCCTGATGATTCAGCAGGTAGAATTCGCCTGCAATGCAGGAGACACAGGAGACGCAGGTTCAATCCCTGGGTCGGGAAGATGCCCTGGAGGAGGCAACAGGAGCTCAGTCCAGTATTCCTGCCTGGGTAACCCCATGGACAGAGGAGCCTGGCGGGCTACAGTCCATGGGGTCGCAAGAGTCAGACACGACCGAGCAACTAAGAGCACAACATGCATATGGGAGAGGATAATGAAGTGAGGAGACTAAGGAAATATGGCAGAGGAAATGGTACATGATCTAAATGGTATGAACAAGTCAAGCCTGCTAGTACCGTGGGAGCTAAATGTGGAGATGCAGGTCATCTCCCAGCTCTCCTGTGGTCAGCTTCTCATTGGCAAGGGTCTGTTGCATATATACATGTGGACACTCACCATAAGCCCTCATACTCAGAGCTAGGGTATTTCTGCCTCCTTTTCTATGTCTAAATTTACAAACTTTGGGCTTACGACTGACTGTGCAGAACATACCCACCCATAGCTCTAGCCACTGTTGCACAACCTGGCGTGACTATTGCCTTTAGCTTGTTGTCAGAGCCTGGCCCTGCTTGCTTCTTAACCCCTTTACCGCTGGGAGCAGCAAATAACCTTTGCCTTCAGATACTGCCCCAATTACTGTTCCTTTATCTGGGTCAATCACATCTATTATATATAGCTAAAGGCCCTTTAACTATATAGGCCAGCCCTGGGCAAACATAGACAGTTGGTCTCAGGAACCCGCACCTCAGCTACTAATTTTTAAGAAACCAATAATTTCTCTGCACTGGAAGAAAATGCCATCCAACTAAGTTCATCCTGAAATGCTATATGACTATGTGTTAGTCTGTAGAAGAATACTGGCACTGTAAAATAAAACTATGGAGAGAGAAACGCTTAGCACAAAGGAGCAGAAGTTCACCATAAAGTTTTAAGTATATTGAGAATTTTACATATGAAGCATTTTTACACCCTATGAATCCTAGAGAATCTATTCAATTATGAAAGCAAATAATTGGAATGGCTGAGCTATATAATGGTAAGGTCTTGAGTTTGGAAATTAAATCTGCAGCAGAGATACCTAGGTGTAAATTGCTATTTCTAGTCTCTAGATCCAATCATGCCCACATCTTTACATACATACATACACACACACACACACCACACACACACACACACCCCTCATGCACACACTGCTTAATGACAGAAGTGGGAGCTCCAGCCACAAAAAGACCTGCAGTCTGGTCCTCACATAGGACAGCAGCCAAGTATCACTACAAACACCCTGTGGACCTGTAAACTGACATGAAGCGGGAGCAGGCCTAAAGGTGTTACTCACTGAGCAAGTTGTGATATAAAGTTTCCTCTTAAAACAGACAAAGAAAAAGTAAGCCAATTTACATTTTCAAAAATGTGGGTGTATAATAGCACAGCTTGTACTTGGATATGGCAAAAATGGTTAAGAAGCCTCACGGTGTATCAGAAGGCAAGCATCCCTTTGAAGAACCGTGCTTCAAGAATCATCCACATGCAGCAGATCCTTCCTACTTTAACCTTGAGACTTTTCCCCAAGACCAGTGCATTAGAATTACTTTGTTCTAGATAAACCATGGTAGCTCTGATATCGATGAAGTACATAGCAATATAGCTCATACAACATCTATTAATATTTACAGAAGTTTGTGTGAGGCACTGGGGAAAGGAGGGACCCAACATTGACACAGGCTGGGCACCCTGCATATACCCTCCCATTTAAGCCTCACAACAACTCTCAAAAGAAAAGTAGAGTTTAACTCTGTCCTACAGATGAGGAACTGAGGCTCAGAGAAGACAAATTATGCAGGATCCTACAGATAAGAAGTGCAGATCCTAATTCCACAGACCTAGCTCAGCTGGATTCTACAACCCATGGTCTGTCTTTATATTTGTAGAATGGCTTGAATGGGATGAAGAGGGGAGAAAAAATGACTTTGGGAAATTTAAAACTCATCAAGTGAGAAATAGAACTATCATATGATTCAGCAATTCTACTCCCAGGTGTACATTAAAAAAAAATAAAAAGACTAATTTGAAAAGATACATGCCACCGATGTTCATAACAGCATTATTTATAATTGCTAAGATATGGAAGCAACCTGTGTCCATTAACAGGTAAATGGATAAAGAAGATGTGGTATATAAGTATATTCAATGGAATACTACTCAAGCATAAAAATAAATGAAATTTTGCCATTTGTAACAACACAGATGGATTGAAAGTCAGAGAAAAATACTGTATGATGTCACTTATATGAGGAATCTAAAATAAGTGAATATAACAAAAATGAAACAGACTTACAGAGAACAAACTAGTGGTTACCAGAGGGGAGCAGGTTGGGGGGTATTGTATAGGAGTAGAGGATGAAGAGGTACAAGCTACTATGTATTATGCAAATAAGCTACAAGGATATATTGTACAGCATAGGGAACAGTCAGTATTTTATAATAACTATAAATGGAATATAACCTTGAAAATTGCGAACCACTATGTGGTATACCTGAAACATGATACTGTACATCAAGTCAGTAACAAAAAAAATTGTTTAATAAAATTAAGGTAAAGTGAGTAAATTAGTTCCTTAGCAATCAAGAATGTAATATATTTCTATGTCATCCTTTAAAAACATCAGTAGCTTTCTATTGATATGGAAAGGTGTCCATGACATGTAGATGTCCTTAAAGAAACAAAGAAATTTGGGGGAAAAAAGAATGTAATGTATTGGACTTTAAATAATAAACAACAGTAGACTCCAGCTACTTAATGTGGCCAGGTATTGCTTTCAGAAATTTTGCATCTCAATTCATTTGATTCTCACTACAAGCCCATGAGGTCATTATTGTTATTAACCCTATTTTACACATGAGGTAATGGAAGTTCAGAGAGATCCAAAAGTACATTTGATATGCTTTTTAGGGCTTCCCAGGTGACTCAGTGGTAAAGATCCCACCTGCCAGTACAGGAGATACAGGTTGGATCCCTGGGGAAATAACCCCTATAGGAGGAAAGGGCAACCTGAAAAATCCCATGGAAAGAAGAGCCTGGCAGGCTACAGTCCATGGGGATGCAAAGAGTTGGACACGACTGAGCATGCATTCATGTTTTTAAAAAACTGCATCTTTTCTTGAGTTGTCAGTATGAAGTAAGAGAAAGAATGGGTCTTGGAAGCAGATAACGTGGGCTGTAGTTGGATTGCCACTAATTTGCTGTGTAACCTTATGACTTTTATGATTTCTGGTCCTGTTTCCAGGAAAAAAAAAAAGAAAAGGGATTTTTTTAAGAAGGATTCAGGCTAAGTAATTGTTAACAATTCTTCTAGTCTTAAATTTGATACAAATTTGGGGGAGGAAAGCAATTCATTTTGGGTCACCTTTTTTTACCATCTTCACCCCCGGTCATTTCACATTTTCTTTCTTGAATTGAAAACCAGGAGGGAAAGAACCAAAGTCTAGAGTATGGGGTCACTGAAGGGAATGTGGGTTTGCTGTGTATAATTATAGATATTTAAAAGATATTTAAAGGATCACTTCCCGATACTTCAGCCACTGACTCATCATCAGGACTGGAAAGAATTTTTAAGGAAAAATGAATTGCAGAAAGGTTATTTTGTATATAAGCAATTAATAGAATTAAATGAGCAAATTTCTTCAAAGTATCAACAATGTCTCATGAGTTATAACTACAAAAAGAAAAATAGGCCACTCAAACATTAAATGTGTGTAACAGAGCATTTAAAAATTTGGTTTTTAGAAGCAGGACAAAGAAGAATTCATTCATTTGTTGAGCTCCTACTAGGGGTATGGTAGCTCCTACTAGCACTGTGCTAAGTATGTCCTAGAATAAACCCAGAAAAGACTAGGATCTCCCAAGATAGGGAGGGTAAGGGTGGAGGGCGGGTATTACTATGCAATGTGGTAAATGCTATTCTAAGAAGTAGCCCTGCTTGAGTGA